AGGAGGCAGTCAGCCTAAAGCACTTGGCCTCTGTTATAGCTAAATTTCAGACAAAAAGCATGGCAAGTTTGGTGCTAAAAAAAAAAAAAAAGTCTGGTGTAATAGACATGAATTTGTCATATTAAGAGTGTGAATGTGTTAATTCTTTTAGGGGACTGTTAGAAAGCTCTGGTTACGAGGTAAGTTTAAATAGTTTTTCACCTAAGTCTGGGACTGTTTGGTCTGGAGAAGAAGAGGCTGAGAGGAGCTCTCAACAACTCCTGAAAGGAGGTTGTGGCAAGGTGGGGGCTATCCCACGTAACAGCAATAGGGTAAGAGGGAATGGCCTCAAGTTGTACCAGGGGAGGTTCAGGTTGGATATATTAGGAAGAATTTCTCAGAAACAGTGGTGTGGCATTTGAACAGCCTGTCCAGGGAGGTGGTGGAGTCTCCATCCCTGGATGCCTTTCAGGAAAGGGTAGATGTAGTACTGAGGGACGTGGCTTAGTGGGCAGTATTGCCGGTAGGTGAGTGATTGGACTAGATGATCATAGAGGTCTTTTCCAACCTTAATGATTCTATTATTCAAGCTGCAACAGTGAAATGTCAAAATTTGTGTATGAGAATGAGAAAAATGTCTCCAAAGATCACGCTGATGAAAAGTCATAGAGGACAGGGGTGTGTGTATGCGCAGGTCTAGCCTGAGTTGCTTCTTGCTGAGGTACACTTTGTGAAGGATGCTTGCTATTAAATCTGAAATGATGAAGAAAAAAAAAACTAGCAAATCTTACTTCTCATTTGAGTAACATACAGCATGTTTTGACAGGATCCACATATGGCATCTTATCTTCAGCTTAACCAACTGTGTTTCTCACCGGTCTGAAAATAAAATAAACATCTCTGTACCTTTTTGAGGAGGTGAGGTGGGCTTTGCTTTCAGCCATCACTTGGTGGTAACGTATGTTCTTGTTTTCTTTTCTCAGCAGGTATCCCCCAGGTGTTGTAAGTGTGGCTCCGACTGGCATACCTACAGCAGTAGAAGGAATTGTCCCCAACCCTATGTCTTTATCACACGGCCTCCCTGCTGTAGCCCACCCGCCCCATGCTCCTTCTCCCGGCCAAACTGTCAAACCAGAAGCTGATAGAGACCACCCAAGCGACCAATTGTAGCCTACGAAAACAGCATTCCCAACATCGGAGATTTCAACTTCAGCGTATGGAAAAGAAAACAACAAAACAAACACAAAACCCTGGATTTTGATCAAGGCAAAACCATGAACTTAAAGGAGGAGACGATTATTGGTTTAGAAACTGGTCCAATATACAGTATAAAAGGAAAAGGTGGGAGACAAAAAGAAGATTTGGAAACATTTTTTCCTCCGTATAAATTGTAGTTTGTCCCTGTCCAGTGAACTGATTCACTGTTTCTGTGTCCTATGGGTTCTTTGTTAAGCAAGAGAAGTTAGTAGTTAATTATATCATGAATGTACTTGTCTGTGTACAGTTTTTAGAACATTAAAAAGGGTTTGTTTGCTTAGCTGTTGACAAGGAAAAACGTAAGGGAGGCATTCAGCAAACCAATTTTGAGATTAAAAATTCTTTCTTTTATATTTTAAAACATGCCCCAAAATGAGGCAGTTGGCAAACTTCTCAGGACAATGAATTTTTCCCATTTTTCTTTCTACGCCACACAGTGCATTGTTTTTTCTACCTGCTTGTCTTATTTTTTAGAATAATTTAGTAAACAAAAGAAAAACCATTTCTCCTAATTTTGGCATGAATTCCCTTATTTCAAAATGAAGACAACCTTGCAAAGAGATTTTGAGGAAAAAAAAAAAAAAGGTTTTGTATAAACGAGCATTGTGCTTTTTGTCACCAGTTAAAGTATATATTATTGGTGGTATGAGAAAAAGGCACTAGACTACTGAAAAGTAGCAGCATTTCATTGCCTACATTGATTCCTTCCTGGTAATGTGGTAGGCTAGCAATATTTTTGGTTAAAATCATGTTTGTGACTGTAACCATTTGTATGAATTATTTTAAAGAAATAAAAATCCCAGACAAATACCATATGTGTAAAAATTTTTATTTCTAGTAACTGTTTATTCAACTTTTATTAGGTTTCTTAGCTGTAATTTTTAAACAGATGCTGTCAAGTATTTCATTTCTAGCTTTACTTTGCTCTCTGTTGTTTGTAATACCGTCTTGGAAGCTTGAAAAATAAAAGAAAAAAAATTTCTTTCCATGCCATTTTTTCCCTTTACATTTCGTAAATGTCGATCTTCTTTCCTGTGTTTCTAATGGAGTTTGAAATTAAGATGGATTTTGATTTGTACATCGGCATCATCAGCTACAATATGGTAACAGCGTTTGTGCCACCGCTGTGGGCAGAGCAGAGCAGGTACATCAGCACCACGACAATAATAATAATAAACGTCTTTTGCCGAAGTCCAACATGAGAAGTGTGCATTGTTTTATTTATTTTGTGATGATGGAAGCGTGCAGCAGAACATGATTGTGTTTGCTGTGTGGAAGGAGCTTGTTTTTTTTTTTTTCAGGCAGGTTTTCAGCTGGAAGCCTTACTGCACACCTCTTTGAGATGGCCTTCATCCCCGTGTGGTGTAAAGAGCGTGAGAGAGGTACTGGGGAGACGTGAGCCTGGAGACAAACCTCCTGGGTTGTCTCTTATCTGTTAGTTCATTAATCTGAACGTAGCTGCCCACCTACTGTTGCTGAGCTGTTCTTAAGGGATCCGTGTCAGTTCCTGTCTAAAACGGCCCCCAGGTCTGTTAGGAAGATGTCAGTAGATTGCAAATCAAGAAAGGTGGATAATTAATTGTGGGTCTGTTTTCAAGGAATACGTAAGTGAAATTTTGTCTCCATAATGAATGGAAGGAGGCTTCTAGTCAGCTGTGTGGCAAAAAAAAGGCAAAAAAATCAAGTGCAGTCTCCTGCAGTTGAAGTGCATTGTCATATTTCATTGGTAATTCACCTCTCAAAATGACTCTTTGCAGGACTGAAGAAAGCTTCTTGAACGTACGAATAACAAACGTTTAACATCTGGTTGCCAAGGATTGCTGACTGTTTAATTTGTTAGCAAAGGAAGCAGAGTTCTGGAGGAAAACCAAGAGGGTTGTTTTCTTCCTCCAGCATCAGTTTTGACAGAGCTTATATAAGTAAGCTTTGTTTCCAGTGAATCAATAAATGAAAAAAAGAACAGGAAGACATCACTATTTACAGCATGTAGCTCTGAAGCGTTCTGCACAGTGCTGGGGTCATCATCCATGCTTGCTCAGGCAGAGCTTTTTTCAGGATTTGAGCCTGAAATACTGCAGTGATGGGTGTAATAGGGCTTTGCTGCTGTGGTGATGCATGTTCAATAGTTCTGTGCCAGTACTTGAGATATATTTGTCAGTCTTACTGCTGAAGGGTAATCCAGTTTCCTGCTTTTATTGGAGCAGAAGGGAAAAGTCATCCAGGCAGCGACAAGACCAATGTGTACTGACTTCTGGGTTATCATCTGAGAAGCTTTAGAGCGAATTTGAAAGTAAAAAATAAAAATAACTGAGTAAATGGCTAATTGGAAAAGTGTACCACAATAAACAGGCTGTTCTCTCATACTAACGTATCTTTTACAGCTGATTTTGCTAGGTTGTAGAAATGTGATTTCCTCCATCTGGTAATGTATGTGCTGGAAAGAATTTGTGCAGAGTCGGTGAGAAAATTGCAAGTGAATAGGCAATGGTAGAGGAGGGCAAGGGGAGATGGCCTGAGGTGGTGTTAGAAGGTGAAATGAAGGGTGACAAGGGAGGTGATTGAAGGCACTCTGATTTTTGGTGTTGCCTAAATTAAGGATTGTGGCCACGAGACGTGGAGAGGCTGTGGGGACTCCAAGAGCTGGGTGCTGTCAGGAGTGGGAAGATGCCAGCTGTACAAATGCAGTCAGAACTAAGACTTGTCAGGAGTCATAAACATTTCCCACGGTGGGGCTGATTCATGGCTGCTGTGGGGCAGCCGTGGGGGGGGGGAAGAGTGATCGCAGATTCAAGAGGTGAATTATTTTTGGTAGCGATTGAGCAAATCAGTGATGCTAAACAGGATGTGGAGCATTTGGTAGGCAGTTTTGCCCGTGCACATTCAAAGGGACAAGTTCTGGCTGAAGTTGTAGCTGATTCCAAACGGCCCCAGAGTTGGGGGCTTATCAGGTGAGAAGAAATTGGAATAACTTGGCTTTCTGTAGATTTAGGCAGAGGCTCAGTAGGGAAAATGACTTTTATAAATAATGAGATGCTGAGGAGGAAGAAGAAACGCAAAAGAAACACTGATGTGGACAAGCATAAATGGAGATCAGGAAAAAATGTCTTATCAGCAGGCAGACTGGAAAAGTTTTCTAATAGTATCAGATGTAATCCTGAAGTTCCACCCATTTGTTTTTGTTTGTTAGATTTTGTAACTTTTTTCCTAATAACGTAAGGACATTGTTCAATGGTCATACAGGTCTGCTACCATACTAACAACTAAAGAGAAAGTGCTGTGTTTTCTTGTGCAGCTCTCCACCTCAAACAGTTAAGGCTGGCTGTCCAAATGAGTGAGATTGCTGTTACCCACTCACTTCTTGCCTCAGACCAAAGAATTTTCTTCCCCTGTTAATCTCGGTGGACGCTTGGATGAAGTTCTTTGTTCTTGTTGAAGGAGAGGGCAGTGCTGCTCGTCTTTCCTTTATTCACTTCAGTCCAACTTTTCTACCTTTTGTGAGTCGAAGGGGAAAAAGCCAGCAGCCAAAAATCAAACACACAGGCAAAAAGCAGGGAAGAAGTAATCATTGGACTTAAGGGCAGAGAATAATACTGGATCATTTGTCTGACCACTCTGTGGTCTTTTGATTCTTCATTAAACCTGGAACCTTGTTTTGAATGAAGTAAACCTTTCAGAAAGATTTTCTTCTCCCTTTAATTAAAATGTCAAGTGACTTTTTTTTTTTTTTTTTTTTTTTTCCTGTTTCCTTTGATAGTTTGCTGAAATGCAAAATAATCCTCTCTGCAATTTTTAAGCCACTTTATTTAATTTGGCTTTCCCTGGCTCTCAATTCCAGTTATTGTTTCATGTTGAACACGAGGTCATGTGGGCTGACCTGTGTTAGTGAGCATGTTATATTTTAGCCAATCCTCCTTTATACTGAGGTCAGTGACACATCTTCCAGGAAGACCAAGCTGTATTATTCATCTGCTTACTTTTCCAGTTTCTGTCATTACCAGATACACAATATTGCACATCATTTCCTTTGTGGCCCTCTATTTTTGTCATTTAGAATGGCATAGTTCTTAGTTCAATGTGGTTCTCTTCTGCAGATGGAACGGCAGGATTTTTCATCTCTGAGGCTGCCAGCTCTTCTTGCCTCTGCTGGCTTTCCAGTTTCCTTGGAAAATTTATTCCTGTAAAGTCACAAAGTGCACGAAGAACTTAATTAATTGTCCTCTGAGTCTGCAAATCGTATTGGCTGCGGTAGAACTGAGCACCTCAGTAGTGGTGGAAGCTCCAAGCTGTGTGCGTGCCCAAGTGTTTGAAGCAGTCCTGCTCTCGCAGATAAGTCTTTCTTTTCTTATCATCTCACAGATCTGCTCTGTTTGTGTATCTGCCTCTTACAGAACATGGCCTGTTTTGTGTTCTGCGAACAAAGAATGTATTTGTGGAATTCTTTCCTGTTATAGAAAAAGATGGCCTTTGGTCAATTCTACTTTTTCTCTTCTGCAAGTTCTAGCTCAAATCAGACCAGTCAGTTTTTAGCTCTCTTGTGCACTGACTGCCATGCACAAGATCTCCCCATACTCAATATTCTCTCCTTTCTACCTGCTTTTGAGCTTGGGATCTCTCTATTGGTATTTCTTTATGCATTTCCTCATCTGGAGTTTCCATTTTCTGTTAATTTATGTCTATTCAGATCCACTCTCAGCAGTTTTGGGGTTTTTTTGCCTCCATGTTTCTGCTGAGAATTTTAATGGAATGTTTTCTCAAAGTAGTACTGTTTGTTTTGGCAGAGGGAGTTGTGTTGTTGTATGCCAAGGCCACCTTAAACAAGCTGAAATGTGTCCTTGGGGTGACGAGAGGCATTTGAAACATTTTTAAGATGATGCACATCATTCTCCCAGCATGACAATCCATTGAAGACATTTGTTATTTGCAGTCTTTGATTACACCTGTATTGCCCTCTTTCATGTGCTGCCTGAATCTGATAAGCTCTGCCAGTTGGGAGCGCTGACTCTGCTCAAGAAATAAAGTAAGAAAGTGTTTTTAAAAATGTATTTAAATGAACACATACTTAACTGCAAAGGTTTAAAATAATCTAAAGGAACAAGATTATTAAATTGTCCCCAGAGCCTTTTTAATGTGTTAAATATGATGTATTGGAAGTAGATAATTACAATAAGATTATTTCTTTGTATGCTCAGTGACGCCTTGTATTGTTTGGGAAAATGTGATGAAGCTGTACCTCCCTGGACAAACCCTGGGAGTTAGGATAGCAAATCAACATCTCAAAATAGATCTACTGAGGATGGACATCCGAGCTGCGTGTTTCCAAATTCCTCCACCTCTTTTCAGGAAGTCCCACCTGGTGCCATTGGTTGAGTTCCCAAGACAGGTGCCTCCAACACAGCTGCCGACTTTGCAGCATTTTCCCTTCTCCAGAAGGGATCAAGGAGCAGGGTTGGCTCTTTAGTATCCTTAAAAGCATCCCAGGAAATCCTCGTTGCTATTCAGTAGAATTTTGTTTGATCTCTGATTTAAAGGTCAGTCCTTGCTGTATTTCATTGCTCTTAAAACACAAGAGGAAAAAAAAAATCTACTTTTAGTATTTTCTGGTATTTTGCTATTATCAGTATTTTTTTGTATTAAAATCTCCATCTGTGTGGACTTCAAGGGATTTCCAAGTTCTTTTAAGAATGGGATTCAGCCAACTTGGTGTTTGATTTCTCATGTTTTATAGGTCTACTACATGTGAAATGAGTTCCTCGTGTTCTGAAGTTACAATGATGCTTTTATCTTTAAATGACAGTAAAACATAATTAACTGCAAGGCCATGACTTTCCATTCCAAGCACAAAGTTGAAAGGCCTATCCTTTGAAATGGCTTGTTGAAATTACAGATTTCCAAGAATTCATGTTCTGAACAACTTTATTTTTTTCTCTTCCTCCCACAGACCAGCTATTGCAATCACAGGATACAGCCTTTGTGTTGTGAGAAATGCAGGTAAGAGATGAAAAAATCTCCACTATGAGTCAAAGTTTGTTTTCAGCCTTTGCAAATTCTAAGTATAAAGGCACTGTTTTGCATCATGTAACTAGTAGCTAGATCCGGACCCATTTTCCAGAGGAAATAAAATCCTAAGCCTGTTGAAAGTCCAATATTCAGTAGGGACTTCTTTCATTGCTGCAGACACCCTGCTTGAATTTTCATGCACATCTGGGATCATAGAACTACAGAATGGCTTAGGTTGGAAGGGATCTTAAAGCCCATCCATTTCAACCCTGTCTGTGGTTTCCCCCACCAGCTCAGGTTGCCTCAGGCTCTATCCAGTCCCACCTTGAGCATCTCCAGGGATGGGGCACCCACAGCTCACTGGGCAGCAGTGCCAGGGCCTCATCACTCACACTTTGTTTAAAGGTGTTTTGGTTTCTCATTACAATTTCAGATTGGATATTAGGTAGAATTTCTTCTCAGAAAGAGTGATGAGACATTGGAACAGGTGCCCAGAGAGTCCACCATCTCTGGAGATGTTTAAGGAAAGGGCAGATGCAGTACTCAGGGGCATGGTTTAGTGGGCAGTATTGGTGGTAGGTGGCAGCTGGACTAGGTATCTTAGAGGTCTTTTCCAGCTCTAATGATTCTATAATCCAAGTTGTGAAAGTAACCATGAGCCACTCTGCTCTTGCACAACCCTGCTGTTTCTGTTAGGACATCTCTAAATGACACATTTATTTTCAAAATTCATTTTTGATAATGTTCATTCCAGAAGTCTGGACCTGCAGACACGCAGTGTCTGCTCAGCCTGGCAAGGAAAAGCATCCCTGCTGCTGGCTGAACGCATCAGAGGATGCATTCAACTGTGATCTGACCCTTGCTGTGAGTTAAATATATGGAAATGTGTGAGAAGAATGCAGTGTAACACTGACTGTGAGCTGCTGGAGGTGTGGGATGGCACCTGGCTTGGATTAACCTTTGGTTTAGGTGACACAAGTGGCCTAAGCTTGCACTTCACCAACCACAAACAGGAGCAAAACCAGAGTGCTGCTCCGATTTGCTCTAATTCCTGCCTCTTTCACTGTTCTTTGTTTCATGCCTGGCTCTGTAGAACCAGGGCTATGTTCTACATGGACTTTCCTACCGAATTTTCTGCAAATTCAATGCCTGCATGTTCTGTGTTTGTCTGTTCTGTACACTGCATTTTCACTGCCTTTCTTCCTCTCCCTCACAGCCCACAAAGCTGCTGGACATGCTGAGGGCATGGCGACAGGCCATTGAGGCACACTGTTGGGTAGCAAACTATCTGTCATGTCTGCCTTGGCCTTTCCTAGCCTTCCTTCCTTGGCTTGTCCTGACCTTCTCCAGCCATTCCTGGCTTTCATACCCTGATTTCTCTGACTTTGCTCCCCCGGCCAGCTCCAAGCAAGCATGCCTCCTCTGCCCATAGCACATGAGGACAACCACCTCCAAGGCTGTCCGGTGATCCTATTCCTCATTATGACCTTACAATATTTAATGGGGGATTATAAACAGCAGTGAAACCAACTTTTTACATGGGTTGATAGTGATAGGACAAGGGGAAATGGTTTTAAATTAAAGGAGGGGAGATTTAGATTAGATGTCAGGGGGAAGTTTATCACTCAGATAGTTGCAAGGCTGTGGCACTACTGCCCAGAGAGCTGTGGGTGCCCCATCCCTGGAGGTGCTCAAGGCTGGGTTGGATGGGCCCTGGGCAGCCTGAGCTGGTGGGGGGCACTCAGACCACAATAGGGGGTTGGGGCTGGGTAGGCCTTAAATTCCCATCAAACCCAAAGCATTCTGTGATTCTATGACCCTCATTATATATATTGTGTAGGGTCAAATCCTGCTGGCAGCCCTTCAGCAGCAGAATTTGCCACTGTATCTCAGAGCTGGAAGAGGATGAGAATTAGGCAGCCCAGTGAGGCAGGGAATAGAGGGGTGTCAGCTCCTCTGGTAATTGCAGCCCAGGATGCAGTTAATCTTTCTGAATTAGAGGGCTTAAAGACCTTGCACCTGTTCAGTAAAGAGGCTCTATAAATGCATTTTTGTCTTTATGAATATGTAAATAAATATTTGGAAGTAGTTCCTGCTCCAAATGGAGGCAGGTTAGAAAGCAGAAGGGCAGCAGTGTCATACTCAGTACATTTCAAAGCCAATGCATGGCTTATGCTGTTTGTTTCTCTGACAGTCTGATTTTTGTGGGATAGGCCGTGGTGTTTTTGCCTGCTGGAGATGTCTCAAATTACAGTTTTCCTTCCTGAGCTGTTTTCCCCTTTTTTTTTTTTTTTTTTTTTTTAAATTTCTCAATAACTTTGAGGGGCCCTCACAGGGAATTTTCCAGTTCCCTCTCTTCTTCTCTATGGTGACAGCAGTGCTTTTGGCTGGCTCTGCTCAGATAGCTCTCATGTATCCGAGCCTGTCCTGCCCTCCTTGCCCTATTTCAGAGGGCTGAAGCACCTCTCCTAGGAGGAAATGTTGAGGGAACTGGGATTATTTAGCTTGGAGAAGAGAAGGCTCCAGGGAGACCTCACTGTGGCCTTCCAGTACTTGAAGGGAGCATATAAACAGGAGGGGGAACGGCTGTTAACGAGGGTGGATAGTGATAGGACAAGGGGGAATGGTTTTAAACTGAGACAGGGGAGGTTTAGGTTAGATATTAGGAGGAAGTTTTTCATTCAGAGGGTGGTGAGGCACTGGAACAGGTTGCCCAAGGAGGCTGTGGATGCCCCATCCCTGGAGGCATTGAAGGCCAGGCTGGATGTGGCTCTGGGCAGCCTGGTCTGGTGGTTGGTGACCTGCACACATCAGGGGGTTGAAACTGGATGGTCATTGTGATCCTTTTCAGCCCAGGCCATTCTATGATGGTATGATTCCCTAACAACACCACTTGTGCTCATGCAGCCCACTGCTCTGCTTACTGTGCCCATTTGGGGAGGTGTTGTACCTCTTTCTTAGAGCTGCTGGGACATGCAGCTTCTGTGGTGCCCATCAGTGTTGTTTCCCTCCCTCTCCATTGACTTTCACTTGGAAGAGCAGAGAATTCATTTTGCCATGTTTTAGAATGTGATTTCCCCATCTAGAACAGTGAGAAACATGGGCAGAAGTGCGTTTACTCTTCTTCTCCCTGTCTTTGGCAAAGCGATCATTAAAATGTGTCTACAGGCTAAAATTAGGTGTGTTTGAAATGGTTATTTGCCACACAGTGTAATAGCAGTTCTAGGCAGAAGTGGTGAGCACAGTGCAGATTTTTGATCAGCCTCTTATGAGTGAAGCACAGGTCTCCTGGAGGAAAGGCAGTGCATGATGCTGTGCCCAATGCTTGTTGTTTCAGGATCACAGCATTCATGCTCATGCTGCCCTGAGGTTTCACAAAATACCTAAAGTCTGGATTTTAATAGCTTTTGATTACGTGACTTCTTAATTTGATGCTGATGTTCTAATATCTGCGTTGATCATTCTGTTTTTAGTTCTTGAGGCCTATTGGAATTCTGGCTGTCTCAGCTGTGTGATGGATCTGGGAAAGGTGAGTTGTGAGTCTCCCATTGCCACAGTCTGGAAGCAAGAGACTGCATGGTAGGTAGGAGGCCAGCTGGAGGTCTGAAAAGTGCTGCTGGTCCCTACCCTGACAATAGGCAATTGTAGTATAACTCAGTGCATGACAAGATAAAATAGATATCCTCAGGCCTTCCTTGTGCCATGACAGTTTTCAGCTGCAAAGCTGACTTCCTGGGATGTCCTTTGGTTTGCAGTACCTTGCTATGAGGCAAAAGCAAAAATAGAACCTACCCGGGAAGTAACAACATATTGTGTAAAAGCATTAAATATATAAAAATGGTACCAGAATCACAACAAAATGGCAACAAGTATTCTTCTTGGATAGACATGGGAAGCATGTAGAACAATGCAATATAGCCTGGTGGTCCCATTTTACAGCAAGGAGAATGTATTTGTTATTTATAACAGGTTAATCAATGATTAACAGACATTACAATTAATGGTTAATTGATTGTTTTAGACTTAGTTCACACATGGCTGGCAGCAATCAGTAACACTGCATTTACACTGTAGTGTATTTATGGCAGTTATTAATCACACAGTAGTGTTTAAATGTTCCCATTTTATTAGGTGTAACTGAATTTTCAATAGCACGTCAGCAAATGTGAGCTCTGCCTTCACATTAGCAAAAGGAAAGAAATAACAAAACAGGGAATTTGGCCTCGCTTTCTTCAATGTCAGAAAACCATAAGCTGCATAAATTGGAGGCACTGCCACATTATGAGAGCAATTTTAAGAAAAATGTGCCATTTATGGATGAAGCACACTTAAGGATTTTTATAATTACAAATATTTGTACTGTTAAGTGAATTGCATTAAATTATTTGTTGTTGTTGCTTTATTTCCCTGGAGGACTCTCATGCAGTGCAAGCTTTGTTATACTGATAAATGTGCCTGAGAGCTTTATAATGTAGTGATGCATTGTAATGATAAATAGATCTGGTTAAGTAGTAAAGATCAAATACACAATTAAGCATCTTGCTGAGCAAGGGAAAACAATAGTGAAATCAGTAAAGATGAATATAAACGGTTGTATTGAACCAAGCAAAATATATTTTCTTATGTCTACAAAATGAGGAAATCTGGCCGGATCCTTGCATAAACAGATTTATAAAGTCCTGAAATGTATAAATTAACTTTAAATGTTCAGCATCTATAGCCAAGGACAGGGCTTTCTCTGACCACACAGAGTAATAGAGATGTGCAGTGGCACAGGGGCAAAGCAGATTGGTGCAGCTCGGAGAAGGGCACCATGGGCAGAGCTCGCAGGTCTCACGCAGTGGTGAGGCGAACAAAAACACATCGCACTTGACAGAAATATTAGTGCTGAATATTGGCAGCACCTGCTTCCATTGTCCTGAATTTCCTTCCCTAGAACCTTTCCCAGCAGGGAGGCTGGTTCACAGTTGGCAAGGTCGCAGAGGCTTCACGCATCTCATTGCCATTTGCTTTTCCAAACATCAGGAGAAATTGTGACTCAAAAGGAGAATGCTGGAATGGGGAAATATAGCATGAAGGCACTGAGAAGGACTTTCATTTAGAACTCAGCACAGAGCCAGTGTGATCTGCTTGCAGGTTACCATGTCCTTTCCGACTCTGAAGGGTGTTTAAGTGGATTTCCTTCGCAGGGGTACCCATGGCCAAGTCAGCACAGGAGGAATTTCATAGCTCATTGTACAGATGCTATGGTGACATAACTCCTGGAGGATTTGGAATTAGTCAGGACAGAGCAGCCAGAAGAAACAGCTAATTCTCCTGGATTGATTCAATGTGAGCTCTTACCCTACACAGTGCTTTGCCCACCTGGAATAGCATAAGTAGTTGACTTTCTTTTGCAGTATCTGGGTATTAGCAAGGCTCAGGGGAGAGATTAAATCCTGCTTCATGGATGCTGACAGCCAAACCCCTAAGTTGTGTGCACACTGGCCAATTGTTGTGTAAACCCCAGCAGTGCTCACCAAGCCCTGCTATCCCACCAGCACCATCCTAGGAGACATGCTGAAAACATGTTTGCCAAGGATGTACAATGAGGTATGTCCCAGCCAGCAAACCTGTTATTTTTTATTACCATGCACTGCTAACTACCCAAAGTTTTGCACAGCCTCCAGGTTGTTGGCCTTATTTAATGAGAAGCAGGGGAGTAGTAAATACACCCAACTTCTGGAGTTTAAGGGGAAAAGGAATGGCCAGAGCAGGCAGTGCCCCCTGCATCTGGCTTCTCACACCCTCAGCTGCAGGTGTTGTTCATCACAAAGAGCCCTGCAAGAGTTTGCAGGGATACGCATTAAATTGAGCTGTTTTCATCTTTGTAAGAAAACGTGTTTCTACTCCAGGAGTTTTGTGTCACTCCACAATAGCACCTTGCTGCTACTCGTGCATCCAAACAGACTCATAGAATTGTTTGGGTTGGAATGGAGCCATAGAGGTCATCTAGTCCAACTCCCCTGCAATGAATAGGGACATCTACATCTCCTCAGGTGCTCAGAGCCCTGTCCAGCCTCACCTTCAGTGTCTCCAGGGATGGGGCTACCTCTACAGACCTGGCTGTGCTCCTCAACATTTTTCTGCAGTCCAGGATTGTGCCTGTTTGGCATCAACTTGGAAGAGAGAAGTCCAGCCCTGTAGCCACCAGGTTTGGTTTAACCATGTCAAGCTTGTTCATCGTCTCTCCACCACAAATGTGAACAACAATCTCCTTGTGACAATGTTTATGCCCAGGCTGGAGAGGACATGGGAGATGTCTGGAGTGATTGCAGAGTGGTGGGGATGACCCTGCTTGATGGAAAGTCACCACTGAAGGATTTTGCGCCTGTCAGTTTGTGCCGTTTCTTGGTCAGGGAATTTGCAGCCCAAAGGTTGTTTTGGATGCCTGCCTGCTCCCAGAAGCTCTGCATGCTCAGAACAATTTCAACTCTGTGTTAAGACAATAATTGTAATCAAATCTCACGCTCTGCTGCCTAAGCCAGTCCCCTCTATGGAGCAGATGGGAAGGGGGCTCAAGCCAGCAAGGGCTTTCCCTCCCACCCAAGCACACAACTGGCCCAATATGTGCTGAGAGCACTTCTTTGTCTTTCCCATTGGCTTCTCTCTGCTTCTTCCCAGGTGTCAGTGACAGGCTGCAGCTGGAAAATGTTGGGCAGGGGGTTGAAGTGTAGGCAGGGAGATTTTTTTTCTCTGCTGTCTTCTGCCTTCTGTTGGTCACACATCTCTGCTGCAGGGAAAGTCTGACTGAGAGCAGACACAGACATTTTTTTCTATCTGTTGATCTGCAGGGCCAGGTCTGAGCCCTGCTTGCAGGGTGAGTTTGTTACACTGGGTGGTCCTGCATCCTGTGACAACCCACATGAGGTGGTAGGAGAGCAGCTACCAACTTGCAAGCCTGTAATACGGCAGGTGTGGCTATGAATGTGTGTGGAAGTTGCTGCTGGTGTTGATGGAGTTGACAGTGGTGTGCTGGAGTCACTAATTGCCTCGTACAGCACAGGCACAGGGCAGACACAGCTCGTGAGTGCACCATTTTGGAAGGCCATCCCTGAGCACATGCATCCTTCCAGCAAGCTGGGGTTGAGGCAAGACCTGGTTTTGTTGGATGGTCCCTTGGTGCCTCCTTGTGTCATCTCCTTGCATCACCTCTATTAAGAAAGCAGAATGGCACCTGCTGGACTTGTGCATCCTGTGGAAACACTCTCTTGAAGGCAAGTACCAGGGATTTGATGTTTTATTTTATTTTCAGCAATGGCTGATGATGCCTTGTTAGTATAGAAGTTCTTCTATATTTTCTTCCCATTTTGGCTTATTAAAACAGGAAATTACATTATTCAAATTGAATATTAGGAAAAAAAATTGTGGAAAAAGAAATGGCAGTGCAATGGAACAGACTGCCCAGGGAACAGACTGCTCAGAGGAGTGGAGTCACTGTCCTGGGAGGTCGATGTGTGGAGATGTGGTGCTGTGGGTGATGGTTAGGGGGCATGGAGGGGATGAGATGGGATTGGACTGGATGATCTTAGAGGTCTTTTACAACCTTAATGATTCTATCATTCTATGAAATGTATTCTGGATTAGCTGTTGGGTGTTTTAATTTTCACTTCTGTCTCATGCTTCATTCTTGCTATTCTATTTCCCTCCTCCCCCCTCCCCCTTTTTTTTTTCTTTATGGCCACTGAGGCTGATTGTGGCTTTCTGCACTACACTGGTTGCAGAATTTGTTTCTGAATCCGATTGGAACTGGGTGACTGAGATTAATGAGATATTTGTTCTCTTTAAGGTGATGGCAATGTTTTTTTAAAAAAAGGACAGAGAAAACAAGCTATGTGCAGACTCTTTTTCCAGATTTAGGGACCTTCAGGATTGAAATCAGTCCCTCCAGTATTACGATGTTGCCTTTGGTCTGGATCCTTTTCATATTCACATGACTGAGTGATTTGCCAAAGCACCTCAGGGGGGTGTTTGAGAAATCTGCTGTGCTTGCAGGAAGGGGGCAGGCAGCACCCACATGACTGCAGAGGACTGCACTTATCTGTGAATCAAAGGCTTTGGCTTGGCAGAGCATCTGCAGAGCTTGCAGGGCCCTCAGCTTTGAGCTCCCTTTGTACAGAACCAAGCCATGAAAATGAGCTCTTTACTCCCACTTCTTTTGATGTTGCTGGGCCACCACCATGCCATCTCCGCTCTTAAATCCTCCTTTTTCTCTCCCATATCCTCCTCCTTCTTTTCCATAGACCCACCCTTGTACGTGTGCTCCCCACACATTTTGGGTGCTGGCACAATGGTGCAAGGAGAGGGCTGCTGCTGCTGGAGCTGTTGGCTTCAAGGAGATCAGCAATTTCTTGTGCTTTTCTTAAAAGGCGTGCAGCAGTCTCACATCCTCTCTCACAGAAGCAGCTGTCTTGATGAATATTTGCCCAAATCATTACGCTATCTAGCAGTTAGCCTGCAAAAAGGCCCAGCACCATTTGTATGGTAATGGAAGGCTTTCTCAGAAATGTTTTGGAAGCAATCAGCTAAACTAATAGGATTTTATGTAAACCAATCTCTTTCTTTAGATCGGGATTTTTTTTTTTTTTTTCCCGGAGAGGAGGGTAAGGGCTTTTTTAATAAATGCAAATTGATATTCCAATGAAAATGGAAATGAGAGAAGTTCACTGCCGGGGTAAAAAGCTGCGACTTTGCTCCTGCAGCAGCCTGGCTCATGATGCTCTGCACATCCCCCCCTACAGCCATGACACATTGCTCAGGTGCTGAGGCGAAGAGCCTTCAGAGAATCACAGAATGACCAGGATTGGAAGGGACCTCAAGGATCATGAATCTCCAACCCCCCTGCCACATGCAGGGTAACCAACCTCCTCATTTAATGCTAGACCAGGCTGCCCAGGGCCCCATCCAATCTGGCCTTGAACACCTCCAGGGACGGGGCATCCACAACCTCTCTGGGGAGCTGTTCCAGCACCTCACCACTCTCTCTATAAAGAATTTCCCCCTGACATCCAACCTCAATCTCCCCTCCCTCAACTTAAAACCATTTCCCCTCATCCTGCAACTTGGACCATGCAGACAGACATGGGCCAGGCTGGGCTACTCTTCAGCCACCAAAGCAGCTGGATTCTTCCAATCCTGGACCTCTGCAGAGGGTCACAGCAAGTGGTCCCAGTGAAGATGGATGGCATGGGTTCATTGATTGGTTGTTGTTATTCATTTCTGTTGTGATTCAGCATCTCTGGTACAGTGTAACATAAATGTTCTGTGCCTCTCCAGCAGGGGCTGAGAAGAGGATGAGAAATACTCAGAAAGCTGACTTATGTTGTGCATTCTGCTCTCCGCTTCTAAGTTAAGTGCTCTGCTCTGGGAATTTGCTCACTGCTGAAATCACCTGCTGCAAAGGGCTTTTGCTGCAAACCTTGAGCGCTTCCCCACCGAACTGAGGCAACTTTCCTGGCTGTGGTCCTGATGGCCTCGCTGCAAATGGGGCCTGGCCTGTGTGAGCATGGGCAGCTGCAGTCAGACTGCTAGCTGGGCTATTTTTTGTATGGGAAGAATACAATAATACAAATACAGTAATAAACATAATAATAAAACCCCGCCCACATGGTGGTGCTCCTGGAAGTTCTCCATGAAGAAGTGCAGGCCAGTGAGAGACGGGCATCCCAGAGAGTTTTAGGGGAAATGCTGTGAGGCTGATGCTGATTTGGGCAGCAGGGTTTGGGGCTTCTCTGCCTGCTGTAGCATGGGGCAGCCACTGCTGGTGGCAGAGAGATGCAATGTGTGCCTGAGGCCTCAGAGTGCTGCAGCCTGGCCAGGACAAGCACTAGGCCAGGAGTAGCCATGATGGAGTCATACATCCGTAAAAGTTGTTGTATTGTTTGAACTTGTGAGCAGTGTAAATGTTTCTCTAACAAAAAATCTGCAGGAGGTTTGGTAGCAAATACTTGTTTTCACTGTTTGCTGTTAGGTGATACCAGCAAGGTATGCAGGCTGCAAGGAGGAAAGGTAAACTTGTCAATGGGGCATGCAGTCCCTTGGAAAGTCCCTTCTGAATGTCGTGGGTGGGCGTTGGAGAGCTGAAGTGGTTTCCTACCAAGCTGGATGTGATTTTGTGCTATGCTGTGTTGTAAGGCAGCAGCCATGGAAAATGGAAGATGTCTGCTTTCAGGAAAGCTGTGCTTTGGCAAGACAGAGGTGGCCAAGGAGATCAAGCCACGGTCAGTTCCATGTTACACCAGTGCTGATCTGGAGGTACAGCGCTGACTGACAAATGTCCTTAACAAAACTCTGTGCTGGATGCTCTATGAGTTAATAATTAATTATGTCTGGAGTGGGGAACTGAGCTTCATTCGGACTCCTGAAGCACCTGGAGTTGTCCATGGGAGCATTTGTCCACAGTGCACTGGCTTGATTATCAAAACTGGTTTTGAGAAACACCTTCTTCACTCCAGCACTTTCTTCCAGCCTTTGATTTATGACAAAACAGTCAGTGGTGCTTTGTTGTAATTGCGTTGCCGAAGTGACTTGGGGTAAAAATTCCTTTAAATAGTGGGTTTTTTGGGTGTTATTTTTAGCATTAGGCCTTCCTGCACATTTAATGCTCAGGTTTTATTCTAACAGCAGAGTCTAGATTTGGATCTAGGAGAGTCAAAACTTGCATATTAAATAAGCATTTATTCAAATGTGGTTTTTTTCAGATTTGAAACTGCATTTAATGGTATGAACAGCACTGGAAGAAAGAATATGTTTTCACAGTATGATCTTTTTCTAACCTTCCTAATTTGAAGGCTGTCCCGAAAGAGCAGGAGGAGAGCAGGGCTCTTTGGTTTTCCCATTCCTAGTGAGATGCTTTTCATATACATTTCTGCACTTCCAGGAAACACGAATAACACTCGATTATTAAGCTGGATATTTAATCTGTTACATGGTTTGAATGCTTAGTGTGTTTGTCTGGACAACATTAAGTTTATATGAATAAAAATTCTAAGAAGTCCTTCTTGAATTATAAAATCAAGTAACTTGTTTGCCCAACATCTCAATCCAGCCCTGGAGATACCATTAGAGAGGTCTTGGGAAGTTTGTTTAAACAATTGAGTCTCTGGCAGATCTATAATCACAATATTCAATAAAAATACTACTGAAGTTTCAAACTGCATCAGATTTTATATCTTCTTAGAGAGAAATTAAAATGAACAGAGTATATCCAGAAACCAATCCTATTACTGACAGGTAATGTTAAAAACAGCCTTAAAGTTTAAGTTGATCAGAAGTAGTGAGTTGAAAATGTCTTTGATGGAAAATGCAGTTTCTGCAAAAAATAATACTCAACTTTGATTGGTAAAATTGAAACAAAACCTTTCACTGCAGTTTGGATCTGGCAGAGTGAAAAAAGAAAACCTCTCTTAAAATGAATCCAAAATCTTTCAGGAGAAACTTCCTGCAGTTTTGTGCTTCAATTGGCTTCTGTAAACTGTGGATCAGTGCCTCCAGTAAATGGGATATGCCAGCAAGGTGGATGGACATCCATTTTCAGGAAGGAAGATGAAAGACATATCTGGAAACTGTGAGTTTTGCGATGCTGAATGTCTTTAAAGGTAAACTTACTTCATTTCTTTCAGTTATGACATGGTTGGCATGAAGTAGATGCCTTGCCTGGTGTTTGTCACTCTGGTGGTGTGTGTTGATGTGTTTTTGTCTCATGCAAATAGTGTAGGTTGCAGGAGAATCTCATGCACAATGCAACTGAGGTGCTTCACATCCCTGGTTTTCTCTGCTGGCCTCATGGGCTGAGGAACAGATTGGTCCCTGATGGAGGAATAACTTTGGGATATCCATATGGGTGTCCTGCAGACATTAAACACAAGGAGAGATAACTTTGATCAAGGGAGGTAGCCAAACTAGTCAAGGAGGTACTGTGTCACCCTGGTGATTCAAGGGGAAGAAGAATAATCTTGACTTTCTGTAGAAGTTTAAATGAAAACTTAAAGGTACCAGCCATTTCTACAGGATGGAGAGGCTGCTATTTAATGAAGGAATGACACAAATCCTTTTGCTAACCACAGCACAAGATTCTCTGTCTTGTTATCTTCATGGAATATTAAAGCAATTTAATACATCGAAACAATACTGCAAAGCTTATGGTTGTAATGTCTTCGAATCTAATTATGCCCTACCTGTCTTCTGCCAAAGTCTAAAGTTGCTCCCAGCTCAACAACTCTAGTTCCTAGCCACCAACCTCCTCCTACCATCAATGGAGATAAAAGCATGTCATCTCACAGCACTTTATTCTATCCTTAGAGGGTACCTAACGAGTGTCCTATTTGACCAGACACCTTCATTACCAATGTTGATTTCAGGTGAGGTGAAGCCATTCTGCTCTATGGCTGTCTTTTTACCTCAACTATGGCTAATCAGAAGAGGATCAAACAGATCTTTTAAAATGCCCACACAGAAATTACTCAGTAAAGTGAAACATTTTGTAACACTTTCTTGCCTTTTTCTCTCCTAAAGCAATTATTATCATCTCTTAATTGAGTTGTCACAGATTCCAAGGTGTGTTGGTAACAGCTTTACAGGTTGTCATTTGTGCACTAATCATGTCTCAATAACTTTCTCAGCTGTCTGGATTGAAGAGTTTGCTTGTTTAAAATGTTTTGGAGTCCATCCACTTTGGCTTTTCTCTAGATTTTTCATGCCATTGAAAAATGCAGTTGGACATTTATCCTACTCATTGGAGTCCTCAATTTTATTTCCATCTGGAATCGCACACCAGTACTTGTGGGGCAGTTAACTTGGCTGAGGAAAGTGTTATGTTATTGGTCCTTTGAACTTAGTATCTGCCTAATAGGTAAGTTCCATTTGATCACAGTTTTGAAATCTCTATTCTTTTGGGTTACTTTTTTCTTTTAGGGACTCCACATTTTACTTAAACAGTTATTTACAATATTTATTACGCACATGGGTCTTATTCTGCCAGTCTCAAAGTGCTTCTCAAAAAGCAAGCAGATATGATTCAATAGAACAGTAGACAGTGACTTGATCCTTATGCCAGAAATCAGTGAATTATGTTGGACATCTTCCACATGGATGGTTGTCATCCAGTCTGCAAGGGTCACCACAAATGCCTTTCAGAATTCTGTGTTGCTTGCAGGATTGTCCAACTGGCTAGGAAGAGTAGATGCATTTAGGGTGATTTCAGACTGGTTGATAAGGATTGGGCTGGAAACTCTCCAGTGGGTCCTTATTTCCATTATGTCTCCCACCTGACTGGATCTGCTCAGAGATTTTTAGAGCAGACACCTGATGGTGATTCATGAATCAGCACCAGGAGGAAGAGCCCATCCTTGTCTGCTCTGCAGGGCCACAAAGACCAGCAGGATATGAAACAACACTTCCACTGTCTTTCCTCCAAGCCACTACATCAGAAATATTAATGAAGATAAGTATTAAGTGCCAGTACACATGTTGCATTCCCACTAGTGCTTTATTCTTTTAATGTCTTTTATTTTACTGACATTGACAGTAGTGCTTCCAGGCAGTGGGACTGGGGATTTTTTTTAGTGTCTCTAATTGAACTGAAACTAGTATGCAGATTGCTGGTAAAATAAACTGCCTGTAAGTGGGTAAAACTGTGATGTATGCCTAATCTCAAGTGCTTTTATGGCCATTAACCCCAGAGGCTATGTGTAATTACTATTTTAAACACAGGTCAGAACTCAGAACTCCTGGTGCTCAGGAGCTGTAGGCAGCAGAGGCAGACACTTCAGTCCAGACCGTCTCTTCATGTTGCTCAAATGTGTGTCTACTTACAGAACAGAAAAAGGCAAGGGCCTGATGCAAGTTGACTGTGCTATGTATCCTGTGGTGTCAAAACTCAGCCTTATCTCCTTCCTAAAGGCACAGAGAACAGAGAACTTATGGGATATCTCTGCAGTGGAGCAATAGGTGTCTCAGGGGTTATAGAGGCACGTAGTGTCTCTCACTGTCTGTGAGCTTAGATGCTGCTAAATTGTAGAAATGGACCCAAAGTGGCTGACAAACTGATAATTGCTGATCCTACAGCACCTTTGGGTGTCAGAATTGCTACTCCCCAAATGACTGTAAATGACTTTCTGCAGGGTCGTATATTATCACCTATTGCTAAGTAGAAATGTGAATTCTGTTTTCTCAAGTCATCAGTATCACTGGAACCCCAGGGCCGTTTGACCTCACTCAGTGCACGTAACACATTAGGCCATGATCTATATTAGGCCCCAGGGAACGGCAGGAGAGCACCGTATTGGCAGGTGCACTGTCACAGTCTATGAGAGCTAGGTCAAATTTGGGAGGCTTTATAGAAAATGTGTCTGCTGTGGCTTTTTTTTTTGCCTTTGATGCATTCATCCACCCCATCTGTTCTTTCCCCGAGGAAGAAACTTGCATGAATCATCTGATGACCATTTTTGCAAGAATCATTGGTAAGGCTGATACTCCAGTTTGCTGAGCGGTGCTGGTGCTGCAGGGATATATCATTTCAGAGTGCTGTCAGTGTTTCATACGGCCGCAGCTCTCTCTGCTGACGGGGAGTTATAGGAGTAATGAAACACTCTAACGTTTCTATGCACTTCCAGACTGACTCAGAAACCCTAAACACTAAAATCCACCCTTTGTGCTATTGACACCACAGTGCGAGTGTCCCTCCAGCTTAAATGGGAGCCTACGTTTCAGAGTGGTTACTCAAACAGGCCTTCAGGGGCTGAGTGGGTTGAGGAGTCAGAAGAAGAAGCTGGCTGGAGTTTTGTAAACTGTCCACAGAGGTCCCTTCTGTGTGGAATTGTCCCTTCTGCAGCCTGCTGTGCTCAACGAGAGCAGCTCCAGCTGGCCAGCAGGTGTGTGGCAGCGGTGACCTGGTTTGGGAGTGACCTCTGCTGACCCCCCTGGTGTGCCAAGATAAAGATGGGCCATATGTTCCAATGCACACTTGTGTACTGAAAGGTCATCTTCCAAGTGGGTCCTGGAGACAAGCTGTGCTCCCGTGGTAAAAATGTCTGAAGATATCCCAGGAAAAGGGAAAACTGTTGCTTGAACACTTTCTTTTTTTTTGCATGGACGGTGTAAAGTAAAGGTGCTGAAATGTCAGGGGTAGTTCTGTGGTGTTTGCTTCTTAGCTTCGTCATTAATATTCTCAGCTTTGTCATTTGCCCAGAGAAGTGGTGAAGTCACTGTCCCTGGAGGTGTTCCAGACCTGTGCAGATGTGGCACTGAGGGATGTGGTTAGGGGGTGTGGTGGGGATGGCTTGGTGGTTGGACTAGATGATCTTAGAGCTCTTTTCCAACCTTAATGATTCTGTGATTCTATAGTAAGCATTTGGGTGCTAAGGATGGCAAATGAAGCGTAGAGCTGCAGGTCCCATACTGCTGATAGCCCAAGATAAGCCAAGAGTTAAGTCTTCTGTTGTGCAGCCCAGCTTGAGGCAGTGTTGGGTTGTAGGCACTGAGATGCTGATCCTGAGAGACTGTTAAAAAGTCCTGGGTGCTGTGGTGAAAGTGAGAACTGCTTTGCAGTCCAGTGTTTGGCAATTAGTTTTGGCTTTTTGTAGCACTTTTTTAAGCTGAAGAGCGTGGGGACTGTGGCTCCTAAAATCCAGGTACAGAAAGATTCTAGATATCCTTTTCCTATTTAATTATCCAATTCTGTTAGTTTTCACTAACAGTGAAAGCTGAATGCCTTACCAGGAGCTAACTGCCTAAATATCCAGCAGATTGAGATCCAAGTCATCTGAAGAGGAAAACGTTCCTACCTGACTTATGTGTCATTGGAAGTGTTAGCTTCTGTCTGAAGCAATAACATGTCCTATGGGCACTTGAAAATTCTACATGGGAAGTGATTTTTTTTTTGTATCCCTATTTCTATGTAGCTGAGAGACGCCATGTGATGCCTAACTACAGCTAGGAAAAAAATGCTGTATGATTACAAAGCCAGCTGAACAGTCTTTTCTGTTCACTCTTTGAAAGTGGGACCATCATTTCAGTGCTGACATTCGCTGTTGCTTATCACATTTTCATCAATAAACCTCTCAGTCAATTTGTTATCTGCAGCACATAAAACACAGCTCTCTGCCTCACCTTTCCTGTGTGAGAAATCTGTGAGTGTGAGTGCACAAAAGCGCCCCGCCAAGGCATCACTGAAAAGAATTTATGGGCTGCCTGCATATTCATTTAGTTACTCACACAACCTTAAACAAACATGTTAGTTTGTATCTGTTCTGCTTTTTGTGCTTGCAGAGTTGAGGCTCTGTACACACCTTTGCTGTGATGCATCAGTGTGGGGTGTAGAGCATCCTATAGTTCTCTTCTATGGGAACAGTGCCTGCCCCATTTCTAGGGGTTCAGGGTACATTGCTGGCCTTGGTGTCTATGTTTCCTACTACCCAGGAGGAAAATTGCTCTGACAACTAATTTTTCCCATGGTCATTTTTTCCTACTAGACCCAGTCATCCCAAAATAGTACTGTTTTCAAGCCTCTGCACTTGCATTAGCTGTGTAGAGTCAACGGGGACCAGGGGAAATCCACCTTCTTTGCTTCCCTCTCCCCTGGTGGAAGGAGGATGTGTGT